CGCCTTCGCACGTAGGGTAGCTGTTATGTTGGTAAGTATCCTGCACCGGGCTATCTGGCGACTCGCGAGGATACCAGGGTAAATCAGGCGAACTCAAGACAAAGGGCGCCGATCAAGCCCCTCGCAACCTCTTGCCAACCAAGAGCTACTCCCGGCAAAACGGACTCCCAGCTAAAGCCTCGCCAACTGCGGGAGGCCGAGATAAAACCACCTTTCCTACTGACCTACGGACCTCGCGAACCCAACTAGAATTCCCCCGCCCACCGACAAGCAACAGAACCCACTATTCAGGTGCCTCTACTCACGGCCGAACCAACCCAACCACCCGCGCAGTGCCCGCGCGCTTCACTTACTTGCATGGATGCCGTTGGCCCGCAATGTCGATCTGCGCGTCGCCGTTGTTGTTGTCTTCTCATATATAAGAGACGGCGTTCTATTGTAGGCAAAACCAAAGATAAAGGCAATCTAACATCACTCGTCAAGCGATTTCGACCTCGACTTTTTCTAGTCTTTCTCGTCGTCTATTTTCTGTAATCCGTCTTAATAAAGCTTAGTTGGTACCTGTTGTCTGACTCTGCATTCTGTGCTGGAATGGCCAAAACTCGGACTGTCTCGTCCTGGTGTGATATCCGTGGTTGGCATAGGGCCCTCCGTACTTCTGTATTTGGCAATCTCGGATTAACACTTTTCACGACGGCTCATAAAAAGCCTGAGTGATAGGTTGGAAGGTTATCCTTTATAAAGGCTGTAGGTGTTCCTAGTTTTGTGGAAGCTTTGTGCTTCTTGTTCGGCATTATGCACCACACCGTGGGTGTCGTTCAAAGGTGCTACAAGGCCTTCATGTTGATACTCGATAGTCTTTTAAATGTCTGGCAATACTCGTTTTTGCATTTTATGCACGGAATGAGCAAGTGTCGTACTTCAATCCGTTTCATTTTTTGTTTGAAACACTCCGACGGATTAGCGGTGGATTGGCGCGGCTTAAAAATACCTTAATCCGCGACTTTTAATCCAAGTGGAAACACCCCCTTAGTATTATCGATCATAGAATAGATATGAGGGGCCGTAAGAAGGTCAAGCCCGTGAGTCAACGCGGCATAGCAGAACGTATGACCGGTCCTCACATAGCCAAACACGCAAAAGGCAACGACTCGAACGTCGAACAAACACCAAAACAGCAAGATAAGCCTGAAAATTTTCCTGATGAAGGCGTTTGGGACGGCGGTGCTGTTGTCGGTAATGCATCGGCAATGGTGTTGCTGCCAGCGGCGACCAATGACACGGGCGCCATTACCCCTGCCTTCAATGGCGGGTGTGATCAGCTTAAGCGCAAGCTGTCACGCAATCAGCTCGACAACAATGACAGCGAATGCGGTGAGGCCGGTGATCCATTTCAGGCGCCCAACCCGAGCGCTCGCAGTGCCAAGCAGGCTCAGACAAACCCTAAGATAATCCACCGTGTCGTCACCGGTGAGGAGCCGAAAGGCGTTCCGACTGCAGTAGGACGTAGCACCTTGCCACGAACTCCTGTAATCTCAATACGCTCATGGTCCTTCAACTAGCGAACATTCGTTAGTTCACATGCATCATATGTCAGATGGTACAACGCACCAGAGTCCAAGTACCACCCTGAACGTCGCTCTTCTTGTGCAGCAATATAGGCACAATTCTGCGGCCTCACTGCGCTGCTGCCGCTGCTGAAGAATCGACAGCGGCGCAGCTGATGCTGATTGTTACTTCAAAATGTGGATGCCGGCGAAAAGATCAGACGCGATAAAGATATTACAAATGTTGTAATTAAAGTCAGTAAATTGGGAAATGGCAGGACTTTAGGAGATTCCTATGAGGAATACCGCTTCACGAAAGATGAGAGAGAGCAGCCTGTGCGACTACCGTCCTAAGTACCGGCACCAGCGGAAAAACCCATGGGTCGCCATCGTACATTCCGCGATCTCCCCGCACAAAGACGGTGCCGACTGCCCACCGTGTAATGTTGCGACTCCACCGGTAGTAATATCAGTACGACGACCCCACATATTAAACAATATGGAATACCTATATTTATGTTGGGATCGGACCGTTCTTCAACATAGGGGTACTTATTATTTTATGGAATTCCAACCTTGGCCAAATGGGTGGGCAATGACTTGGAGGGGCAGATATGCTGGGCGAATTCCTCACAGGTTTCACCACTGCACTACGCCAGCCACCAAAGCCGCCAGTGCCTATCAAAAGGAGGCGGCTGGCAGAGGTTAAGGCCTGACTTCTGCTCCCGGCCGACCCGGGTTCAAATCCGCCTGCCGGCTCCTCGGGTGTTTGAGGAGTGTTGAAGTGGGAGGTGACTCCCATCATATGGACGATGTAGGCCGTGACAATATCAACTTGCGAGCCGACCAGGAACTAAGTTGAGGCGCCATAGATCCGCTAGATTTGGTTGGATGCTGGTGGTGAGTTGCCGAACCCAACGAATACATTCTGAAGTCGGATGGGGTGACGGATTAGGGTGCCCCTCTAGCAGGGGAGAGCACGGACTGCCCCGGGAAAGGGGGCCGCTGGCGAAGTTAACCACCCTGAAACAACATACAAGGATTGCACGTCTTCACCTAGATCAAGAGCCCCCAGGTGCTCACGATGTCACTCAGCCCACCCACTCCATGCAGTAACTGCCCGTCTGTTCTCCTTCCAAACACATCGATGGGGGTTCTGGTCAGCGCTTGCTTACCAGTTGTCGGCCGTACTTGCATTGTCTGCTGCTTGCACACTATTCCCAGCTTCTCACCTAACAGTCATCAATATTCCTGTCCTTGCTCCGCTCTGTCCCGGGCTGCCCCTTCTTGCACCGCATTTGTTTAAACATAGGATGAGCACTTATATTACAGCATTCACTTAAATTACATGCATTCGGAAGCTTGTCATGAAAACCTTTCAAACAATGTGCTCTCGCGCATCTTGTACGCATTATTCATTGCTCGCCATGTCCATTACGTTTCATATGCTCTTAGCGCACCAGTCTTCAGGCCCGCGCCTGGAGGGGAGCCCCCGTAGCGGCCGCCCCGGCCGCTGTGTCGGAACCAGCCCTGCCTCCCGTCTGAGTCCTCTCATTGATCTCAGCCACATACCTGCCTTTCACTGCGGCCGGTCTTCACTAAGAAAACTACATCAACACCTATCAGCATGGCATACGGTTAACTCTATTAAAAATGTCCCTAACACTGGCAGCAACACAAGTCCGTCCGAGCAGTGCACTCCTACTACCTCGTCACATGGCTATCTTCCTCTCTTTCTTCCCGCCCATCATCTGCACCTGCATCGCTCATACTCTCTCTCACACACGTACACACCCCTAAGAAACCAGAGGAAGAATATGTGGTGTCAATCTATATGTATCACTTACATATTGAATATGTAATCAGTCCCAAGGTGAACCGGGCTTATCCACAGTAGGCCTTACTGCTATCCACAGCAGCAACAACGGATAAATGAGAGGGATCGGAATGTCACAGCCAAGCACCTCCGCTTCCTCCTCCATGCAAGCATATGTATGCTAACTGTCGCACTGCACCACTGCTACTGCGTAGACCCTGCCCCCCCCGTCACCACTTGCATTGCCCCCGGCTACTGCTACTGCTACTGCTACTGCTACTGCCACTGCGCCTGGGTCTTCCTGAGCAGCTCGTCGCTCAGGAGCGGCACGTTCCTAGCAGTCAGCTCGGTCGCCTCCGGACCCGTGGGCCGAAGGTTTAGCAGCATGGAGGGCAACATGTCGGCACCACGAACCGTTAGCGGTGTGGAAGTCCCGTTGCCACCGGAGTGTGTTGCCGCCGCCGCCGCCGCCCCTCTGCCCTTCACGGCGGCTGTAGTGGCGGCGGTTGCCTCCAGGGGCCGTCGGTCTGGTTTGATGAGCTCGAATGTGAGGGCCGGGGAGCGCAATGATGCAGCCACCCATTCCAACACCCGTGTAACCGGCTCGGAAGCACCAAAGCGGCCCTGCAGGAGGACACAAGAGGGGGAAGAGAGGGTTTGTTAGACGGCCCCGACATGCAGACTACGTTCCTTAGAGAAACGTTTGCATGCCAGGAGGGAAGCGAGGGCCATTGACATCGCGATTTTAGCCATGATGAGAGAAATGTTAGGCCATGGCACAACGATTTCCAAATGCACACAGTCGTACATGAGCCTCTACTGACATACAGGTGTGATGGGAGAGCGAGAGGGGCCCATCGCTGCTTTCCTTCTCCGGTGGATCCCCCCGCTGGGCCCCTCCCTCGTTTATTTCGGTGGGGCGCCCCACCGGCCTGCTGCCCTGCCCAGTCGACCTCCCTAACTTCAGTGTTCAGAGCCCTATGGGGACAGCACCACCAACAGCATCCAGGCGGGAGCCCGCTGCCCTAACAACGGCACTGTCCAGCTGGTCAGCTAGCAGCAGGACTTTCACCACATAACCAACTGACAGCGGCCAACCAACTTACATAGCGGCCAGGAATATTCCTCTCGCACCCCTACATGGGGATTGCCTAAATGTATACCAACGACACATCCACACACCCGTATCCCACCGTCCGTCCGTCCATCCCTCCATCCGTCCCTCTATCCATCCAGACATACATATCCGCACCTGTAAGCAGACACCCTCGGGGAAGCGCACCCGCACCGTCGCCAAGTTGTTGTTCTTGTCGACACCTCCTGATGCTGCTGCTGCGGCGGCGGCCGCGGCGGCGGCCTCCTGCTGCCTCCGCACTTCCCGCATGGTTCGCGTCATGAACCTCTCCGCCTCCTCGCGCTTCCGCACCATGGCCGCCCACTGCTCGCGTACCTCGGAACCCGTGCGGTCGAAAAACCAGTCGGGAACCTGGTGATGGGGGTGGGGGATGGGGGAAAGACGAACCACGAACGAGTGGGGGCCCGGAGGAACGGAAAGTTCTACGCCTCACATTCAACACCTCCAGAGCCCCTTCCCACCATTTCCTTCAGCAATGCATCCCCGCCCGCACAGCACCTGCACCCGCAGCTGCACAAGCGGTTCAGTGCGTCCCCACCCCCGCTCCCTCTCCCACCCCAATAGTGGCCATCCCAACAGCGCTGCGCACATGACACCTGTCCCACACGTTCCCGACCCTCACTCAGGCCTGGCAGTCCCTACCGGCTACACTACCAGCGATACACCGGGGCAACCTCATCACCGTCCATCGGCATGGGGGCACATCACATCCACCCTCTAACAGTCGAGGGATTTTGTTACCAACACACCGTCGGGATCGAACCTGGAGCTTTCCAGTTCCAGAGACACAATGTCGCACCCTTGCATATCTCTTGTGTCCAGAAGCGCATCCCCTGCCTTCTATCTGCTCCCTAACTCCCCGCTCACCTCAACGTCCGCTGCCACGGGGAGGAAGACCTGTAGGGCGGGAATGGGGATGGAGTGGGGATGGAGTGGGGATGGAGTGGGGATGGGCCGAAGAGCAGGAATCAGACGGAGGGCTATTCTGATGTGACGAGGATGAGGATGAGGAAATAACGTTAGGGAAATACGAGCCACAGACGAGCAATGCTCATACCAGAGAAAGACGGATACTCCAGGAATAGACAGGTACTGCACTACACTAGGAAATTGTAACCAGCTACCAGCAACCAGCAACCAGCAACCAGCAACCAGCAGTGACTTGACGGAAGCAGTCACCGCGGCGAGGTGCCCAGCTAGCTAGCTAGCTAGGTTGCGAAAGTGTGTTGTCTATCTAGATGACCAGCCGATAAACGTGAAGGGGAGATAGAGCCGTGAGCCACATGCTATCTCCCACTGCCCCGACAACACTCCCTCCTCGTCATCTGATGCAACTCCAATACACAAGACCAGCGTGGGCAACCCCGCACCAGTTCCCAAACCGCATCACCGTCACCATCGCCCTATGCCCCCCACACCAATAAACCCCTTGGCCTCAACTCTCACCCGCCCTTACCCCCTCTCCCAACGACATCCCCTCTCCCGACACCACCTCAGAGGCAATCCCATCTACACAGACACCCCCACAGACAACTCCCCCCCCCCCCCACACACACACCTGCGTACAGCGCTCGACGGCGGGTACCGGCTCAGGGAAGGGGCCCCCTACCGCTGCCTGGGATCCAGCCACCCTATTCATGTGCTCGTGCTGTGTCTGTGTTTGTGGTTGCGGGTATCCCGATGGTGGTAAGGTGGTGGCGCCTGCAGTGGCGGTAGTAGTGGTGGTGGTGGGCTCGGGGTTTGTTGGTATTGTGGTTGTGCCGGTCGTCGTCGCCGTTGTGGTGGTGGTGGTGGTGGTTGCCATGAATCCGTGTGCCGCCATCACCGCTGACAGTATTCTGAAGGGCTCGGCCAGGGCAGTGGGAGGTACATCGTCTGGAAGGAAAAGGTAGCTGCGGGGGTTACAAAGGAAAGAAAGCAAGGGGAGCCAAGGGGGGAGGGAGTGAAAATGACAATCGGGCCATAAGAAACCCGAACCAAGGGAAAACAAGGGGAAGGGGGGGAAGGGAAACGAGCAAGGGCGAGGAGGCGGGCAAAGACGTCACGGGGCAAAGAAAGACAAACCCAGACACTGGCGGTCTAAAACACATAATGAGGAGGCGGGGGAGGACGGGCAGGAGAAGCAGGGGGAGGAGAAGAATGAGAGGTCACGGGCAGTTTGTCCATTTCTCATCCACACCGGCGCGGCACCTCTTACGGCCTCCACTGCTCCCCCAGTCAGCCCGCTCCCCCGACCTCCTCACCCCTGGTTGGCCAGCTCACTGCCGTCGTCGGGCCAGAACCGCATCTGGAAGCCTGTGGCGGGGTGGGCATGGCGCGCAAGAAGAGGGGAAGGGGTGGGTGCGGGAGGGTGTGTGTGTGTGCATGTCCCACCCACCGTGCACGTGAGGGAGGGCGGAGGGGGTCAGATCACCGACGGCAGGGACCGGTACGGCAGGGACCCGACAGGCAAGCACCAGGGAGCAAGCCTCCGACCCGTAGTCCGTGATGAGCAGGTCCCAGCTATTCACAGCATTACACAAGGGCATGCGTGCGGCCAGCCAACCAGCCTGCGCCAGGCCTCAGCGACCCGTGGGTCGGCGAGCCTAAAGCACCCCCTTGTAGCTGTGAAACGCAGGACATTGCAGTCTACCTGTCTCCTGTTCCTGCACCGCATAAGTCATCATCATCCCAACCTGCCAAGCCGCCCGTGAGCCCACTGAGGTCGCCCACCAGCACCCGCACTGCAGCCCCCCTCTCACCCAGTTCGTAGTCCCACGCAACCGCAGGCCCCTTCCCCTCACGTCTCCCCCCGTAGGACCCCCAAGCCCTGCTCCCCCGCCTTTTTACCCGCCGCCTCCAGGAACTCCACTCCCCCCGGCACACCCACAATGGCCTCCTGCACCCGGGGGTTGGAAAGACGGATCTGCCTGCGGGGGGTTGGGGGTAGCGAGAGGGGTGTGGGGAAGGAGTAAAGGGGGGCTAGATGTCCCGAGCCTGCCGGAGGTCATGCGAGTGTAAGAGGCTGGGAGCAATGCGGGCGAGGATGTAAATGGGACCCGGGATTGGCTCTTGGGAGCTCTCGGGGACAGGAGTTCGGGGGACAGCAGGCGGGAGGGAGGGGGAAAGACGAACCACGAACGAGTGAAGCTGGTGCCAAGGAAAGAGTGTACCAGAAGTAGAACTGACCAAAAGGCGTTCTGGAAGGCGGCAGCGGGGGGAAAGACGAACCACACACGATTGAAGCTGCTGCCAGGGCAAGAGTGTATCAAACGTAGAACTGACCAAAAGGCGTCCATGAAGACCGCGACCTCGGGATGACGAAGTGAAGAGTTTTGCCAGCCTTTTGATTATAGTAAAAAGCCCTTATAATACCTAAAAAAATCGATTCCTTTATAATTAAAAAATCTCCTGTCTTCTGTTGCAATTACTGCTTCCACTAAATATTTAGGTAATTGGGAGAAAGTTAGAAAACCAACGTAAACATCCCCATATTTAGCCAATATTAGTCCATTTATATCTTTAATTACAATACTAGGTCTTTCCCCCCCTCGGCAGCGGGGGGAGGGGGGGAAAGACGAACCACACACAATTGAAGCTGCTGCCAGGGCAAGAGGGGGAAGGGGGGAGGGGGGGAAGGAGGGAGGAAAAGCGGAGATATCCGGACAGAACCGCAGCGGGACGGCATTCGTTGCTTTTTCACGAAGAGGACTCGGAAAGGAACGGGACAGGAAACCGGGTTCACAATGACGGGTTACACGCGGTCGAAAAGATGACTTCATAGATAGGGTAACAAAGTTGTTGGAGGGCGGAAAGATCGTAATAGTAGCGTGTCTACGTCTATAACACGAATTGGCATCGCGTTTCTTGCATTTGCATACATATGCTGTTTTCGTAATTCAGCTGTTGCAATACCTGGTCAAACTCTCAGCAGGGCCCTATCCATATGTTCTCCATGTCGGACAATTCTAGAATGTGTCGGGGTAGAGGTTCGCTGTATCTCTACCTACGTGCCCCCAACCCCCATATTCGTACGACCCCGTACATTCCGTACCTGAACTTGGGTTCGTCGGGTCGGGTCATGACGTTGCGCAGCACCCGGAGGAGCGCATCACAACAATCCCTGGGACCCGCTGCAGCAGCAGCCGCCGCCGCCACTCCCTTATCCGCCGCCGTACTGCCGCTACCGCCTCCGCCGCCAAACTCCCCCGCCGCTGCTGCCGCCAGCCCCGTCGCGTCCCCTGCTGTTGCCGCTGCCGTCGCCTCCACTAGCGACCTGGCCGACGACACCGACTTGGAGGAGGAAGAGTTCACCGCCAGGGGGCTTACTGCGGCTAGACCGCTCGACTGGGGCTGGAGCTGTAGCTGGACGATGGAGTGGTCAGCAGCAGCTGCAGCTGCAGCAGGGTCGCCGCTGGGTAGGGAGGCGGGGGTGGAGGAGGATGCCTCAGCTGGGGCTGCTGCGGGTGCCCCTCCTGCCGGCACTGCTGACACTGCTGTCAACGCCACTGATGATGACGTGGTCAATGTTGACAAGTTGGATGTTGAGAGGAGCTGACTGGACAGCACCAGGGCCAGACAGCGCTGCAGCTCGTAGGCCTGGGAGGTGGCGGGCGCCAGTCCGTAGTCCGCCATGGCACCGTCCGTGGGGGGCGCGGGGCAGCGGAACCCGCCCATGCGCTTCTCAGCGGCGGTGGGAGTGCTGATGGTGGAAACCTGCGGCCGGGAGGGCCAGGGTGTGTGTGGGGGGGTAAGGGCCCGACCGGTGAGGGAGGGGAGGCGATATACGGAGGATATATATGGTAGGAAGGTAAATATGAATAAATATGAAATATAATATCTACATTACAAGATATCTATCTCTAAAATATATATGTATATATAAATAAATCACAATAAAAACAAATATAACTTAATTTAAATAAATACCGGCAATGCACATCCCGAAGGACATGGAGATGTTAAAGCGTCTGTGTATCTATTAAGCAGACCTCAGGCGTCACACAGGACACAGCTATGCCAATACGACCTGTGGGTCGCGCATTACTCACCCTCGCACGCAGTCTCATGTGCTTCCCATTCCGCAAAAGAAGCCGAGCTTATCAAGCGCCAGTGACATGACCTGATTCACGCTAAAGACATCGAACATCCGCGTTTCTAGGTTCGGTGTAAACTGACCTGAATTGCCCTCCACACCACAACACGCATTTCACGGTAACGTTTCCCCTTACATCTTTTTCTAACATGTCCCCTCCCCCCCCCCAGCACCCACCCACCCACCCACCCTGCTCTGGATCTGGATTTGGAACCGGGAGCTGCTTTTCCACCCCACCACCACCAATAGTCGGGTCGGTCGCGCGTTTTGGGGGTTTGGGAGGAGCACTTGCATACCACCAGCTTTTTATTACCAGCTAATCAGCCAGTTCTTCGCCAAACCTCGTCAATGCCGCCGCCAGGCCGGCGGCAAACTTTATTCCGGTTTCACGTCAGCAGGTTTTTACTACTTTTCCGCCGCCTCTACACCTACCTTTACTTCTTTACGGCTTGGCATTACTGCTTTTCTTCCGCGCTTATTTTAGTCTTGGTGGCCAGGTAGGTAATTGTCCAACATCATCTTTACATCATCCCGAGGTCGCCGCCTTCCAGAACGCCTTTTGGTCAGTTCTACGTCTGGTACACTCTTTCCTTGGCAGCAGCTTCACGCGTTCGTGGTTCGTCTTTCCCCCCCAACACACACACAAAGGAGCCACTCACGACCCACCATGCTGTTTGCAGACCTCCTCGGATGGTGACTCCTCCCGCCTCGCCCGCCACCACCCCCACCCCCTCCACCATCCGCTGCCGCCGCAGGCCCTTGTGGATGAGCGCCACTGCCACTGCCACTTCCAACTCCCGCATTCCGGCCCCCTGCACCGCTGCCTTGCGGCACGCCAACCTTGAGGCCTGGGAAGGCCCCCATGGCCCCGTTGGCCCCGTTGCCGCCTGCAGGGTTGTTAGCGGTGCTGGTGGTCTGCTGGCTACAGGGGCTACCGGTGGTGGGTTGGGGAGCTGGTGGCCTCAGGTGGGTGGCGGACGTGGGAGTGCCACCGTTAACTCCTCCTGCTCCGCTGAGACCTGCGTGTTGTGGTTTAATGACTGTCACGAGGTGCACCTCTTTGCTGGTTGGGGTGTTGGCCATGACGGCCGCGTCCAACACCACATCCTCGGTGCGGTGGGAGCGGGAGAGAACCAGCGCGGGGCGGCCGCCGCCTGAGGGAGAGGGGAGCGCTTGGTGGTGAAGGACAGGGGGAAGGACGGCCGGGGTAAATAAGCATGCGATGTGGGTACGTGCGTGTGAAATGTTGAGTGGGTTAGGGTGCAGGTGTGGAGGGTCTGGTGTCCCTGAGCAGGAGCAGCGCGGCGCATGGTTCCTCCCAAGCGTCACAAAGGCATGTCCGAGCGTCCTGTTGCTTTTAAGCGCTCACTTCTAGCCCCGCCCTTTCGCCCAAGGGAGACGCACCAGGCCCCAGGGGCTGCGGAGGCGGCTTTAGCGGAGAGGACTGCTCGGTAGGGACTGTGCACGTGTCAAGGACTCCGGCTTGATCAGCGTTGCGGCTGCCACCAGTGAGAAGTTGCGGTTGATGTGGCCTTGTATTGGACGAGTTCGTCTGGACGGTGGGGAAGAGGATACATTCGGTCGTAGGTGACTTGCGAAGACACAAACAACATAAGCACCTAAAAGCTTTAATCACAGCGCTTACACGTCTGCTAAACAACAAGTTAGGGAGCCCTGCAGAAACCATATGTCCGAGACCATGCACTTCCGCTCGCGGGCGAAAAACACACCTCCGCAGTTCCCAGGCGCCGACCCTGGCCCTTAAACCTGGGATCTTCTTTTGTCTTAAATAAGCTTTTCAGCTTTTCTCCAAGCCCGTCAAAAGCCATCTTCCATGCGCCTGCCCTGACTGGATGTTATTACAGAAGAATGCTATGAAGTGAACCAAAGCCCCGAACAGAGACGTAACACGTAAGATTGGTCCACAACCTTTTCAACGGCTTGCCGATTTCAGTCCCTCCTAAAATTGTATCGTTGAATAGCAAGACAGGGAATGGAAACAATATACACCTGGTGTTTGCCTGCGACGTCAAATTGCTATCATAATTGTATATCTTCTCTGCTTTTTTGAGAGGGGGATCGGAATGCTGCCGTACAGGAGCTTCTCCTTTTTTCGGTACTAGCAGCTCTGCGGTCAGGTAACGCTGTAAGAACCTATTATTTAATTACGTTTTGCCCCACACAGGTATCAGGAATGCGAATCTTGCCGTAGTGACCACCTATGCCACTGGATGGGGATTGACCGTCGAGCAAGCATGTAGCCAACCGTTCCGGAAGGACGCTTTCATATATATGCGGCCTCTTCCGCCATGGTGATCTTCTTTCAAAAGTCAATATTCATTTAGGTTTCTTGCGGCTACACTTTAAGCCACTGTGCATCCCTTCTTAGCTGAGGTGCGGCCGGAGTCGGGCTGTGCGATGCGGCCCTCACGGCAATTGTCCTTTACAACGGTAAAGTACGTAAGCTTAATTCTTTCAGGCAAACTTGCGTATATCCGTATGCCCCATCAGAGGGTACTGCAGTGATAGCATCCCAGAACGTTTTATTGCGAAGCACGCACATCGTCATGTCTGATGGCGCTGTGGTTAAGGGGTCATACCTTCCGCAAGTGGACTCGGACTAGATTGGACGCATATATGCCTGTCGGTTGGTCCGCTGTCTGACGAATTAGAGGGATTCGTTTGCACACAAGCAGACCCCGAAATTGAACCTGCCTATATTACATGAATTTCGTACCTGGCACTCACACCTTCCAGCGTAAATAGACATCAATGCGTGACCCCGAGTGAAATTTCCGAACGGTGGGTGGATGCGAAGGTAGCCATACGGTGTTGATGGTGATGGTGATGATTATGAACATATATTTTCATGTCCACCTTGGCTGGCTCCCCTAGCAGTCCCGTCTGTAGCGGCAGCCTCAACCCTCGCTCGTCAGGTCACTGCTTAACGCACCTAAGCTCATTCGGTGACGGCTGCTGCCCACCAACCTGGCGTATGACTGCTCAAGCTGTCAGACGGAATAACTTGCGACTGCCAGACTTCAGACAGTTGTTGGAAGCGGTTCGGGGGAGAGGAGAAACACAACGGCTATGAACTTGCGTCAAAACCTTGCAATCTCTTTCGCCGACTGTCTGCCCTGTTCCAATTAGTAAAAAACTGGCCAGCCTGATTCGGAGGGAGCAACTTGTTCCATTCACACAGTGCACCGTACCATTTACGACTGGGGAGGAGGGTAGGATCCGGGCTGGAATTAGGGAAGAGCTCTGTCGCAGAATTAGCCTGGATTTTACTCCTGACAAAAAAATTGGTCTGTCGAGGTCTTGAATTGTTCTGGCGGGCTCGCCGGAGGTATTCGAATTGCGCTGTGGAGCCTCGGAATTGGGCTGTGCTGGGCCTGAATTGGCCTGTCCGGGTGCCGAATTGGCCTAACAGGGTGTCGAATTAGCCTTGCAGGGTATCGAATTGACCTGTTCGGGGTGTCAAATTGGCCTTTCTGGGTATCGAATTAGCGTGTTCAGGGTGTCGAATTGGCTGTCGAGTTGGCACGATTGGCTCAGGCTGGCATCCGGAAGCACATGACTTTTAAGGAATTTACATAAAACTTTGCAAGGGGACCGCTTACAAGTGCCTCATGTGCGTATTGGTTTCGATCCCAGGACATGGAGCAGGAAAACTTGCACACCTGTTTACCGTACTCTGGCACTACTACTACTACCGGAGGCAAGCACTCAGGGCCACGACTGCATTACCCAGTCAAGTCAGCCGCCGAGGTCCCACTGTTTTCCCACCACACTTTATCGGCAGTTCGTCCAGTTTATCCCACAACACTCGTATGCATGAATAGGTTCGGGTGGAAACAATGACAAATCTCTGATACACCGCTAAACTCAGTACCACGAGCTACATTGAAAACAAGTGTCCCATATGGGGCAGGAAGTGGCAGGAGCCCCACACGCCTTGTTACCGTACAAGCATGGTTGGTTGATCAAAACAACGATTTGTTACCGTTGTACTAACGGATTTGAAACCAACAAACACACGAGAGATATTTGTAAGTGCTCCCCTTGTTTCGTAAAGTTCCTTCAACTCCCGCGATTCTGAATGTGTGCCTGAGAGTTTGGGGACAGACCCTGCAATTGGTCTAAATTGCTCGGTAGAAGGGTTTAAATTGGCACCTGGGACAAGTTGAATTGCCGGGACAGGCCCTTGAATTGGCCTGACAGGGATATGAATTGGCCTGGCAGGGACATTCGGACAGTCAGAATTAGCGTGTTCAGGGTGTCGAATTAGGGAAGCACGGGAATTGTGCGACCGGGGCAGCCAAAAGAATTGCTCTGCCCGACAGTGTGTCCTACCCTCTAGAGGATAGTGATGACGGAAGCTTTAGGAAGCGTCCGTGCCATGGACTGGGTTTGCCCTCGCCGCCAGTGCAAGCTGTGCATCATCGCTAGGGGACTAGCTGTGTTTGGCGGCAAGAGGCCCCGGCCGACGGTGCACAAAACACGGTACACCACGTCGCTGCGCCACCATCTGTAGTAGCTGGCCGCTGAAAAGGCCTCTCGAAATGCTGGCGGTCGCGCTTCGCGCGTACTTGTAGAGGTTATGTGTGCCGTACTGTGTACCAGCTACTACACCATCAAACTAAGCCTCCGCCAACATCGGGACCCTCTCGGCTCCTGTGCTTTGTGGCGGCTAGGGGCAGCCTGATGTAGGCGGTTGGAGCACAGGGAAGGGGATTGTCGGATGTCTCAGAGGTGTGCGCTGCTGAGAGGTTAACCGTTCTTTGCATGCTGCGCCCCGCTGCAGCTGTACAACATGCTGCACCGATCAGTTCCAAAGAATCAAAAAGGCAGAGAGATTCGCAAAGTACAGCAACAGATAGATTAACATAATCGTTTTTCATTTGCGAAGGGATATTTGGAGTCTTAGGCTCAAAAGGTCAAGGACAGCCAACGTGTTGCGCTCCAACCAGCACTCCAAGCGCTGATTGTGCACGCATAATTTATTCATCTTCATTTCCATTACCATCAAGGATTTAGATGTCCGCCTGGGTGCCGCCTGAGGGCGCCTGGGCGGTCCGGCCAGAAGATGTCATCGTGCTTGACGCGGACGCTCAGGAGCCGTTCAAACCTCTCCTAACCAGTATCTCGCCTCTACTTAAAACACCACTTAAGCCTGGATCTTCAAAAAAACCATTGGACGTTCGCGCGACTGGGACCCACGGTGGTGTCGCGGGTACTAACGATGCTGTCGAAGTGGTGCAGCTAGACTTCAACACAGCTCATGACCTTGTCTCGGTCCGGTCCGAGACTCCCAAGATTCATGCCCACGGCGGGAGCCAGCCGTCCGCTGTCGATGCCCCTTCCATCGATTTCGTCGTGGATGCCGCGGCTTTCGCAGGCGGCCCGGTCTGGTGCGCGGACTTTTGCCCTCCACCACGCGGTGTCCCATTCCATGCCTTCACCGCAGCAACCGTCACGAATGCCAACACCTCGCCCTCCACTGAAGCCATCCGAACCCCCTCAGCAGCAGCAGCAGCCGGCCCTCCCGGGGACTTGGC